CCATTCCCCCACATTGATGCGATGGGGATTTGCTGTTTTCTCTTTTTTTTTTTTTTTTTTTTTTTTCCCTTTTCTTTGGAAAAAAAAATTGATTTCGAAGAGGGCACGATGGGGCGATGCCATCTAGGATCATCGATCAATGGCTGTCGAACAACGAACGAAGGGCTGATCTCCATTCCCCCGCAATATGCGATGGGGATTTGCTTTGTTTCTCCTCTTTTTTTTTCGTTTTTTTTTTTTCCCTCTTAAAAAAGTTCTGTTTCGAATACGGCATGATGGGGCGATGTCATGTTGGATCGTCGCGCAATGGTTGTGAAAAAACGAACGAAAGGCTCATCTCCATTCCCCCACAGCATGCGATGGGGATTTGCTGTTTTTTTTTTTTTTTTTCTTCGGTTTTCTTTTTCCCCTTTTAAAAAAAATCTCGCGTTCGAAGAGGGCACGATGGGGCGATGCCATGTAGGATGAACGATCAATGGCTGTAGAACAACGAACGAAGGGCTGATCTCCATTCCCCCACATGGATGCGATGGGGATTTGCTGTTTTCTTCTTCTTTTTTCCTTTTTTTTTTTTTTTCTTTTGGAGAAAAAGCTCGATCTCAAAGAGGGCATGATGGGGCGGTGCCATGTAGGATGAACGACCAATGGCTGTCGAACAACGAACGAAGGGCTGATCTCCATTCCCCCGCATTGATGCGATGGGGATTTGCGTCGTTTCTGTTTTTTTTTTTTTTTTTTTTCCCCTTTTCAAAAAAGTTCGCGTTCGGAGAGGGCATGATGGGGCGATGCCATGCACGATCATCGGTCAATGGCTGTCAAACAACGAACGAAGGGCTGATCTCCATTTTCCCGCAATATGCGATGGGGATTTGCTTTGTTTCTCCTTTTTTTTATCGTTTTTCTTTTCTGCCTTTTAAAAAGGTTCGGTTTCGAAGAGGGCATGATGGGGCGATGGCATGTTGGATCGTCACTGGGTTGTGGAAAAACGAACGAAAGGCTGATCTCCATTCCCCCACAACATGCGATGGGGATCTGCTGTTTTCTCTTTTTTTTTTTCCCGTTTTTTTTTTTCCGCCGTTAAAAAAAACTCGCGTTCCAAGAGGGCATGATGAGGCGATGCCATGTAGGATGAACGATCAATGGCTGTCGAACAACGAACGAAGGGCTGATCTCCATTCCCCCACATTGATGCGATGGGAATTTGCTGTTTTCTCTTTTTTTTTTTTTTTTTTTTTTTTCCTTTTCCTTGGAAAAAAAGCTCGATTTCGAAGAGGGCATGATGGGGCGATGCCATGTAGGATGAACGAACAATGGCTGTCGAACAACGGACGAAGGGGTGATCTCCATTCCCCCACGTAGATGCGATGGGGATTTGCTGTTTTCTTCTTTTTTTTTCTTTTGGAGAAAAAGCTTGATCTCGAAGAGGGCACGATGGGGCGATGCCATGTACGATGAACGATCAATGGCTGTCGAACAACGAACGAAGGGCTGATCTCCATTCCCCCGCATTGATGCGATGGGGATTTGCTTCGTTTCTGTTTTTTTTTTCAGTTTTTTTTTTGCCTTCTCAAAAAAGTTCGCGTTCGGAGAGGGCATGATGGGGCAATGCCATGTAGGATCATCGGACAATGGCTGTCGAACAACGAACGAAGGGCTGATCTCCATTCCCCCGCAATATGCGATGGGGATTTGCTTTGTTTCTCCTTTTTTTTTCTCGTTTTTTTTTTTTTCCTTTTAAAAAAGTTCGGTTTCGAAGAGGACATGATGGGGCGATGGCATGTTGGATTGTTGCTCAATGGTTGTGGAAAAACGAACGAAAGACTGATCTCCATTCCCCCACAACATGCGATGGGTATTTGCGATATGGATTTGAGAGAGAGAGAGAGAGAGAGAGAGAGAGAGAGAGAGAGAGAGAGAGAGAGAGAGAGAGAGAGAGAGAGAGAGAGA